AATTAGACTACCGACTAACTCTAGCGAATGGATTGCAGGCACCTTGACTTCATGCTTGGGATCCCTATACGATGAATCCTTAAATAACTTCCTTATTAGAAACTACAAGATGAGTAAGAAATTATATAGACTACTTTTAGTACTTCAAAAGGAAAGATCTAACCTAACTTCTTATGCAATATTGAAACTTGTGTTTAGCCATTATTAAAGATTTAAATAATAATCTTGAGCTATGTTAATATACCTATCAGCTTAACCTATTCTTTCATAAATTCAAATGAGCCATTCATGCGAATATTGGGTAAACAACGTAAAATTATACTGTTGCTATGGCCATCATTGTTTATTATTTCTATAAGAGGTTGGATATCCGTATATTGATCTCTAGCGCATTTATCAAAGTGCCTAAATCCATTTTATCGTTTCATGCATATTAAATTAAGTTATTTTCCGATTTTACCATCTCCCATTTTGCGTGCTTTACTTAATGATCTAGCTTGAGTACGAAAGAAGGAATAATTTGCAGGAGCAAGCATTTCCCCAATCAAAAATGCACTGTCCTTTGCGAGTATGTCACAACCCGAGTTCTACTTTCAGCACAGAGCTGAAGAAATCTCATTTTCCTGCTATTTTTAAAGATTTTGATCCAACCTATTATCATTCAGATGTATTAGACGGTGCATCGAAAATAGAATTGCTCTCTGATGCTCGACAATCAAATTTCGACAGGCAAGCAAAGCTTATGCGGACGCCCAACGATATCACTTCACCTCTCGCCACTAGTTCCTTAGCCTCTCCCGTGGTGCCTAAAAATACTTGCTCCAGGCTTATGTCTGAGACAAACTATAGCAATAATTGCAAACAATCTTTCCAGAAGTCGACACGAACACAGCCAAATCGAATTCAGTGCAGTCAGAAAAGTCAACAGGAAAATTTGAATTTATTTGACTCGCAGCATACGCCATATGGAGACACTAGGATGCCTATGGTCCATACATCAGAGGGAAACAATGATGTATATGGGCATGCTCTGTCTTCTGTCAATGTAAGCTACTTCATATACTGTGTTGTTTTCACTGGTGTCATTGTAGAGAACATGGCTGCCTGACATTTTCATCATCTTTCGTATAAAAATAGGAAGGCTCTATAATTCTTAGCTTGTATTTAGTAAAGAACAATATATTTTTCTTAAAAATGGGCTATTTTTAAAAGTATAGTGAGAGCTAGTCTAGATCTAATAGTGATGACGAATTTGCCCTGAGCAGTGATTCACTACTATCAAATACTGGTAAAAACAACTTTGAAATAATGTTTTTAAAATAGAGGATTGCATTGTTTGGCACAACGGTATTTCTCAAAACAAGCGTGATAACGATTACGAAACTGGATAAATCCTATTATGCCTAAACCTTTACTGAGAAATTAAGCCATGGTCGATGGCCGAGAACAGACGTTACTTTTGCTGTCTTAATTACCTTGAGCCATCACTGCTGATTTCGTACATATTCCAACACGTACAGGCACATACAAACACGGAGATAGACACACTCACATGCTCCGAGGTTGACACACTGACTGGAACTAGCCAAATAACTTTATAACTCACCAGAGAGCTCAAATATAGAGTATATATAAGGCTTTTTAGAGATGAACCAGTGAGTTTTATTGTCTCATTTGCATGAACTTGGTTGTAAGTATGATACACTGCTGTTCGTCATACGAAGGACGAAAGCTTAGCACGTTTTCACAGGAATCGAATGAGATTACCTCGGAAACAGCGTCAGCACGAATGATTCACGAGAGACAATCGACAACTGGTCAAGGGGAACCCGCTATCTTCTGGTGGGATCGACCTAAGAATATCTTCTACAAAGACTTTCACTCGAAATGGAAGTAAGCTAAACAATTATGATACAAAAGATTCCTCGAAACCCAATTTTTCTTCACATTTAATGTTTTTGTTTTTCATATTTTGAGACCTATTCGTACCCTCTGCCAAAGTTTCTGCAGGATATTGTGTATTGAGGTCTTCTCTTTCCATGGCCATTATTGATTGTTTCTATAAGAAAATCAAGAAGGAGAACCTATATTCTGGATTATCTTTCCTCAAACTTATTCTATAAACTATTTAGTTCCTTGCCATTACTAGCATCTATGCTTGAGGTGAACGATTTGGTGTTTTATGCTTGAGCAGGATGTACGACGTAGTTTTTTTTGGTCCTAATTTTTAAAATACCATGATTGTTATGATTTCCTTATGGTTAGATGTTACGAAAAGCTTGATTTATGTCAATGATCTATCAGGGATTTCAGATTTTTAATAGTCGATTACTTAATTTACGAGCAGTGCTATCTGACCAAGATTAACTTAACTAGCCTTTTCCATCAAACAATTGTGCGATTTCATTTATTAAAAGTTGACAAGAGCAATTTTCGGAAATGCACATTATTAATTACTCTGCTAGCCGATTATGATAACCTACTCATTATCATTGATTATGGAGTAAGCTGGTTGCCTACTGGTTAAAGGGACTATATCTGTTACTCACCTCAAAATAAGAATGAGAATTCATACTGGAGCCTCATAATCAACATTTAACTTCCAGACTAAACTTGATTAGTTTCCAAGTGGCAGTTTGTAGCGAATTAATTTTATTTTTAGCCATTATACAACAGTCAAATTCTGTTGAAGGACGGATCAG